GACTACCCTACACTGGATGATGTCCATTGAACCCACTGGATGGTCCAGGGATGAGCATAAATAAGGGTTGACCAAGGGGAACCTTTGACGCACTTCATGCAAGCAGAAGGGATCTCGCGTGCGTAACGCCTTGACATTTGTTTGTCATGGTATTTTCTGATCACAACTCCTTTTATGCCAAACCGGCTTTGAAGCTTCCAGTCCTTGAAAGAGAGTTGATGTCCGCCTGATTCGCGGTGTCATTCTATCAGCTTTCCTATCATAAACCTGTCTCATTCTTGTTGGATGCTCGCAAGGGAAACTCTCGAAGCTTCCACCTGCAGATCGGATCTCCGAAGGAGACCGACCACACCGCAGAGGGCTCGGATCCTTCGCGGCGGTCCACACACACGCCGGTCTGGCGGCAGTCACTCTCGGGTGATTCAGATCGGAAGTTTGGAGGGAAAGTACTCCGGATCTAAAGGTGAGAATACCTTCTAATTGCTATAGAGTTAACAGGCATGATTCTGGATCATTCGCAGATCCGTCGTTCTCATGATGGAGCATCCTCCACCGATCTGCCGGCCGTGTGCTGGTTGAGACCGGTTGAGACCCCCTCGCACCGTGCCCGCTGGTTCAAACATGTCCTGGAACGATTTCGGGAGATTTCCGGGTTGTCTTCACACACAGGACCCTTCGAAAAGCACAGGACCCTTTGTGTCTAGTCTATAGACTATTGTGGCATTTTGCCCGAAGATGAAAAACAATGCCGATCAGTTGGGGTGGTTTTGGGGGTCAATTGATCGGCATATATGGCAGTCCCATTAGTCGTGTCTGGGAAAAACCAACGAAATATGACTGATGATCCGATTCTCTACCCAGTTAGGCTCAGAGTCTGGACCTGTCGTGAGTTTGGACCGTGGTGGGACCGAAGAAAAACCGCAGTTGCTTTGGGGCCAGGTCCCGGGTCGCCTTGGGGTACAAGATGGTACAAGCCTCAAACCCATTCCCTCCAAGGCCTCAAAAATTCATGTCGATCAGGAGATGATGCTGCAGCTTGCGGAGGCTGGAGTTTGGAGAGGTGGATGTCTTTCGGGATCAGGTGGGAGCTGGTGGGAGCTGGCAAGAGCTGCCTGATTTTTGATATGATGATATGAAATGTTTGTATAAGACAAACCATCCTGAGATTTGGGTCCTCCGAAAAGAACAATGAGAAGCTGCGGGTTGCCCGTCAAAATACCAATACACAACTACTGTACCAAGGAAGCAACGGATTCTTACCTAGAACCAATGACATGAATTTGACACAAGCTCATTGGCTCACTGGTGGAAGCATTTGGTCTTTGGAGTCGGTGTAAATGTGAAAGGTGCTCCTACCAGAAGGGCTCCAGCTTGTTTCCTACAGCTGGTTTTGGCAGAATTCCCTTGCATGAACTAGCAGACAGTTTGCTTGCATCAAGGCCATTCCCGTCCAAGGCCATTCCCTCGCTCCGTCTCGCCAGAGCGGTCAGTTCTTCACATGCGGCAGGACAAATCTCTGTCCGTGGCTCCAAGGCAACAACTTCAAGTCAAGTCCAATCGTTCTATGAAGACTAAAGCAAACAGGAAGCAATATACCAACACCACCCAAAGGGTGGTTATTAGATGGAAAAGTCAGCGGGGTCCAGCGGGGTCTATAAACCACCCTTTGGGTGGTGCTGGTATAGCAATATAACTTAACCGAGAGACTCAGGAATCAATATATACAAGTACAATATTAAGATGATTATATATAGTTCATCCCAAAGCAATACTTGAGCCAATTGTTCATGTCTAAGTCCCAAACTTCGTAGGACCAAAACACTTACAGTAAAGAAACTTAACGTCTATCATATGTTGCAGCATGTTGCCTTCCAAAACTCTTGAGTTCCTTCATGGAGTCTCGCAACAAGTTGTTCCCCAGGGATCCACATATCTTCTCAGAAGGTACTTGGACCCTCCAAACCTGCATAAAAGTATCTTCAATCACCACCTCAGGACTTGTCCAAGACCTTCTTTTTAATGGTCTTTCGGTGAGCCAAAGTTCGCGATGTCCTTTACTTTTGTCAACCACGGGTGGACCGATTCACTTCGGGCTGGATGTGCGCCCTGCCCTGCGGATCAGCGCCACTGGTTCTGCACTGTGGGACTGGGTATGTGCATTTAGAAGGAGTGCCGGCTTGAATTGTTCCTAACTTCCAAAGAAGGTACCAGTGGATTCCTCCGATTCCTCTTGGAATTGAAAAGACGTTTAATTCAGGAGGATGTAATTATCACCTCAAAGCTTTGCTTAACAATAGTCTTTTGGGGGGTGGGGACCACTTGAGCATAGTACTCGACCACCCAAACTTTGTCCCTGTCCCTGTCCCTGCTTCACGTCCCTCTACTTGCTGTTGTTTGTTCATCCCCGAACCTCCAGTTGGCAGGTTGGCCCATCTTCCTGGAACATAACCATCGAACCGCCGCAACGGAGGGGGCGGCCGGAATCCACATGCCCTCACATATATACCCTCTGAGAAAGGTTCATGTGTTCGACGCGACGTTGTTGTTCTTGTCTTTTTTCTTGTTCCGGTTTAAGAGGGTCCCGTTTTTTAGCTCCTGAGAAGGTGGATTCGTGGATCCCGCGAGCTTTTCGGTTTGAGATGAGTGATCTACACCCTGGAAGACGATCCCGACTCTGAAAACCACTGGTTGGTATGAGTCCTAGAGGAAAACACTCTTCCAGGGAGCCAGGACGTCATGTCAGAGTCTATGTGAGTTGACTCGGGAGTGTATCTTGGTCACCCAATTCGCTCCGGAGACGGTCGTGGAGTCGGGGGCCTCGGGGGACCTCTAGCCATCGTCGTTGGTCCTGTTCGGGGTGGTCATCCAGCCGGTCCCCTGGGGCCACATGGCCGGTTTGCTTTTTGGCCGGGTGAAAGCGGAGTCAGGACTGGCGTGAACGGGGGGATTGGGGTTCGTTGATTGGGGGGGGTTGGGTTTGATGAGATGTCAGAAGATCCACAAAGTATATCTGTTTAACAAACACTGATAAACACATCATAGTATGATAAACCAAACATTTGATCATTAACGGTGCTTGTTAATGGCTCCTGAACCACCCCTCGTGGGTCCTGGTAGAACACTACAAAACCGTGGACTCAAGACTCAACGAGTCAACGAGAGAAATTTCTGTTCAGAGATCACCTAATCTTCCCAGAGTATAAGTACTTCAGAGTGTTCGGCCATCCTGATTGCTTTTTGTTTAAACCCGGATGATGCTGAGGTAGGCGATTGATGCTTGGGGCCTCAGAAATGCCTGAGAAAGGAGTTTGGTGTGGTTTCAAAACCGAGGTCCGGCGTACCGTAGACCTGCTAATTCGATCAATTCTTGGTTGATGTCGTTGGGTGTACATGGCTACACCCTATTTAAGGAGTCACTGCAATCCTGCATTGTTCTACATCGGGACCCGGTGTTGAGGGAGTGGTGCTGGTGCGACCTCGGAACCGTCACCGTCTCGCGATGGTTTGTTCTTGTGCATGGTTTGTTCTGGAGACACTTTCGAAAGGGAGGAACCCTCGGGTGGGGTCGGTCCTCTCATCTGACGGGGGTACTTCTCCTCCATCCTCTCGGCCTTGGGTGGATCGAAGCGGGGGGGGGCTTCCACCCAAGTTGGAGTCTTCACGTGGGCCACCCCAATGGATCCATTGCCACCTTCTGAGAAGGTGCGCCAGGAGACGATTGATGGAGCTAGGCGCCAGGAGGGGTCCAGTCTGGCCTTCTGAGAAGGTGGCAGTGGATCCATAGGAACTCTGGAAGAACTGCGTAGGTACGTGGATGGCCCCCAATGGATGGTCCAATCTGTTCTCCTCATACCATACGTGGATGGGTGGCTTGCCCGCAAACGCAGTACTTTAAAATGAGGATTTGGGGGCGGTCACCAAATGAAGATTAAACTACAGTAGGGAAACCCCAGTGGTGACCCCCAGTTTGATCCTCTGGAAGGTTCGGGAAATAAACCAGTCTACCCATTGGTTGGAGACCCCCCGACCCCCTATTTAAAATACACACCCAAATAGGATCTGATTTTTCTTGGCCTTGCCGAAGCGGCGGTGTCCACCACTCGACAGCCCAGCTCACCCCAACTTGTGGGGGCCGCCCATTTTGGAGGGCGAGTTCGGGCAGCTCCGGCGCTGGCCAGTGAAGCCATCAAACATTTGCAAGACTTATTGTTTTACCAAGAACTTTACACTACAAGACCAGGTCAATCTTTATTTGTGTTGTCTTGGAAAGGCTACTTGAAGAGGGCGAGGCTTGGTCGATTTGGAATCCAATACAGTTTGGGCATGACAACTACACAAACACTCCATGTATGCCATATATGCTTACATTGGGGTGGTTTTGGGGGTCAATGTAGGCATATATGTCATATATGGAGTGTCTGGGCTACACTCCGACTCACGAACTGAAGTGGACATCATGCTGTTTGTAGAGGAGCAGCGTTCTCCCAAAGGCCACTTCATTCCACTTCTATGCGTATGAGTCGGAGGGTATCAGGATCCTCTTCCCACCAAAATCTAGAGGCGCTGAATTGTATTGGACAGGGAGAAACACCGTGACGCTTTTTTGTTTGGGGAGGACTATATACTAGGCAGATCTAGGCTGTAAGTAATATATAGTGTTAAACATGTGTTAAATATGATACCATATTTTATATAAGGTTGACAAAGCCACGTTCAATGTATCCGGAGGTTCATGGACCCGAACCAACTGCTACATGTTGTTCTTCGGTCCAAAACCCTAGTTGATCAGGTCAAAACATGTGAAAACCCTATAAGGAACCTGGGTACTGTTGCTTTTCGCCTTAAGGAACGTCCCTTGAGACCCTCCAGCATCCGGAAACGGTTGGTTTCGTCCAGATCAGAGTCAGTCAGGACCCCATGTATCACATGTACGACCTTCCAACGGATGGGGTTTTGAGACAAGCCTTAAGGTCGATTTCTCAATAAACCGATAAACCAGGGGCTCTTCATAGACTCCCCTACCTCTGGGTCCTGGTTCGTATCGATTCGGTTGGCCAAATACACCCGGCTGAAAATTGCCAGGTGCCCAGTTTGCGGACGCAAATCGCTGAATGCGGACTGGCAAGCTTGTCAAACAAGTGTTCGCCGCAGCCACCACGAGACAGGCGGCCCTGCATTGTTTAGACATCACTCCCGGCAGAAGCGACAGTTCTCAATGGCGTCGCTCTTCAACAGCTGCTGCGGTACGGGGCCGCTCCAGAACATGGTGAAGGACAGAGAAGGATGCAGTTGGAACTAGACTTGAGCAGCGAAAGCCGCCAAGACATACCAAAACATCATTCGGTAAACGCACCCATACCATCCCATACCTACATCCCTCTGTGGTATGTGTTTTGTTGCCAGGAAAAGGTCCAAAGTGTCAGGCAACGTTATGAATCAAGCGGCAGAAATGACTTCAAGGCCCAACCAAACAACACTTTTACATCATCCCTAGGGATCCAAGTACCTTCTCAGAAGGCACTTGGACCCTCATGGGGACTCTTATAGCTTTCAATCAAATGGCTTCTCCACCAGTGACCAAATTGGGACCTGTCCTGCGGCCGTCTGGCGGAGACGGGCCGCACCAGTCCAGAAGACGGGGATGGTGACTCCTTCGTCCCATCCAGGGGCCGTGGATGTGACAGGGGGACCCCGACTTTCTCATTTCTTTTTCGGCACCCCGTCTTGTGACTGCTGGTAGATCTAATTCTTACAAAGGTTGTTTTTGTCGGGCATGGAAAGACTGAACGATGAAGGGTTCGTGTCTGTCAGTGTAAAAGAGATTGGAGATCAAGGATGATCAAGGGACATGAACATGATGATACGATGGGTTTCCTCTACAGGAAGGAGCTCCAAATAGTTCAAATTAATCCTTTTCCTTATGGATGTGCACACACACACACACACCTTCTGAGAAGATGATGTGTTCGACACGTTGATGCAAACGTTTTTTCAAGGTCCAGTCGGTACCTTCACCTACCTGGACCATCCGGCCATTGGGCGTCCGACGGCTGGACGACCCGACGAAAAGCACGCGGGTTTCCTGGGGCAGGACACCCTGGTCCTGGTAGTGGTCCTGGTATCACTTTGAAAAGACAACGGGAAGACATGTTGCTCGTACCAGTATGGCTTAGACACACGTTCACAGAACGTTTGGTTTAGAAACCAATGGACCACATGGCCTCGCCGGCTGTTCAGCAAAGCGAAGCGAAGCGTCGATCGCGACGAAGCGATGCAGGAGGCCTCGGTGGATCCTGAAATCCTCAAGCAGCAGATCGAGAATCAGCCACCAGTTCTCGAGAATCAGTATGTTCCTCGAGTCTTTCAGGACCTCGGAAAATGGATACTGGTACCCGTTTTTATAGGGTCTTGTCCCATTTTCCGAGGTACTTTGAAAGGTCCAGGTCGATGTGTTCTTTTTTGTGGCTGGAAGATCGCAGAACAAACACACCATGAAACCATGAGGCAATGCTCCTTGATGAAGGAGGTCTTGATAGGTTGAAGAAGCATTCCTCACTGCACCGCGTTTCTTATGGCTCCACTGTTTTCTGGAAGTTCCAGGTGTCAGGGCTTTTGGATGGCAGGATGCGGTCAGGGGCGTTCCTGTCTTCGACCCATGTGTGTTGGCTCCTGCAATCTCGAGTCCTCAAGTCATCGGACGTGTTCCACCCGTCATCGACCACGATCCAAGGCTGGCAGAGGAGGCACCCGCCACAGTCAAGCCCTTCTTCCCCTGCTGTGGCGGTCCAGTCACTGAGCTGAAAGGCTTTCAAGGGCCAGTCACTGGGGACGGGCACGGGCGGCGGGGCGGCATGGGCTTCCGCAGCGTTGGCGGTTGGTATTGCGTCGAACATTGGGGCGGAGGTGCAGGAGTAACATTTCCTGGTCGTCTCTTCCAAGTCTCCAACTTTCATTGAGGAAAGAGCCAGACGATGGCATGATGTCAGATGTCACGCCTGTACCTGAACCCTCCAGTTTGTATCTTAGGAAACCGCACATGACCCGAACCAAAAGACAGGTACGACTCATGGTACGACTGTACCATCTTGTACCCATTCTCTGAGGTATACGAATTTGGACTCCAGGTCGGAATGTTTTGTTTGTTTACCCCAAACCTGGTTCTCAACTCCATCGCTCCGCCGCTTTGTGAGGTCAGCACCATGGAGAAGTGCAGTTGCATGGTCCCTGCCGATCAGCAGGACACCTCGATCATCCTCGATCACCTTCACTTCGAGCGAAGCACAGGGAGAAAAACACCGAGAGCCTGTTGAAACCCTAGGGATCCAGTCGTACCGAACCTCAGGTATGGTGATGTGTTTGACCGCTATATAGGGGCCATTGCCGAGTCCAGTCGTACCCAACCTGGGGTTCGCTATGAAAACGGATCAAGATGACGAGAGCCCTGTCTCCACGGATCCTGAGACCTCGTTGAAGAGAGCCTGACCTCTTCAACTCGTCCGTCTCGTAACAGAAGTGTTTTGAAAGAAGAAGAAACGAGACTGGAGACTGTGCTGCACAGGGCTTGAGACATATAGCCATATAGCATCATAGATGGAGCAACACTCAGCCTGTTCTGCCAGGACCTTCAAAGGGACTAAGTGACCTCATTGTAGGATCTCAAAAGGTCACTTTGAAGGTCCTGGCGGGTGTGTTTTTTTGTTTCCTTGCCAACTTGGTGTTCAGCCGAGCGAAGGGGGGGCCTGGTTCAATTCCTGGGAACCGATGGGGGCCGCCTACCAGAACATACATCAACCAAACGATACAACAATATCCAAAAACGTGTGCGTTTCTTGTTTTTTTTCCACAACACAGCACTGAACCACAGAGAACCTGTGAGGCTTTCAAGGATCTTCAAGGTCTTCATCCTCGGTTTTGCCATAGGTGAGACGCTCCATGTGACTGGAGGCCCAAAATGACTGGTGGTTTTGGGTGGTGATTGTCATACCCAAAACACTCCATGTATGGCATATTTACCTACATTGGGGTGGTTTCAGGGGTCAATGTAGGCATATATGGCATACATGGAGTGTCTGAGTCTGGGATATATTGTCATGCCATATCTTCGGTTCCATGAAGCCTTTGGGATAGGATGATGTTTGATGTTCCGTTCATTGGTTTTCCCGTCGTTCCTGGTGCAACTCCAAGTCATCCCTGAATTCCAAGCGGGTGGCGCCGCATGGCCTGAACCTGGCTTGGTGCAGGACTCGGTGAAGCAAGCCATCGAGAAGTACAAAAGCCTTTGAGCGGCCCGGCCGACAGGTTGTTCGGAAACGGACGTGTTGTTGTGTTTTGATGGTTTGTAGTTGTGTTGCGTGTTCTTTTTCATTGCTCTGGAGGAGTTGGAATCCAGATTTCGGAGAGATGACTATGTATGGCTTTAATACCTACGGCTCCAACCATATCCTCAGAAGGTGTTTAGACCCTCCAAACCCACCCCAGTCCCACCTTCTCAGCAGGTAAGACTGGAGGCCTAGGGATAGTCATCACTGTTTGCATGATTTTTGACCGATGTGATTGGGACTTGCTCAAGCTAGAACAGCCTGTTCCTGCTGTTCTAGCTGTCAAGCACTTGGCGAAGGCCGCCGCCGTGGTTTGCTGGTGCAAATCGACAGAGGTGGGGTGGGGCAAACCTGTGCCCTCATACCTCTATGCAGTCTATGGTCGTCTAAGTCTACCCTGCAATGTGCCATCTACTCTGAAACTGAAACCATGTGGAGGATCAGCCAACATGACGATTCTATAGGATTTGAAGATCCGCAGTGTTGTACCAGATTGACCGAAGACTTTCAACCTTGGCGTGTCTACAAATCCAAGGATCGACATCGCAGCAAAGGCTGCCGATGCGTTTCCTGGGCTGCACGGTGTGCTGCCGATGTGTTCCGTGTTGGAGTGTTGGACGAGACTTTTTTTCCGGGGGGCGCAAGGTTCCAGGTTTGCACCTAAAATCCCAAACAACTAGAAACAAATCGTTCCAATACGGCGCCAGCTTGAGATACTTTATAGAAAGAGGCTGGGGCTGGGTTCCATCCATTTGTTTTCGGTTGGGACCAGGTTTCCAGGCGGCGAAAAGGAGGTGTTCCTGTTCTTTCGTTTGTCCATGTTGGTCATGATTCGCGCTTCTGATCTGCAGCGGTTCGCGCCCGAGGCTTTTTGCCCAGGTGTTTTCTTCACACGTTGTTCCGTCGCGTTCCTCCCTTCCCCCTGCGTAGATCAGAACCCGTGCACGGATTGGTGACGGATGGGAATTCTGTGCGAAGTTGCACTGAACATCACTTGAACATACTTGAACTATTGTTATCATGGCATGACTCCTAAAGACCACATATCTATGGATTTGAGACTCCAAGACCAGGTCAACGAAGACCATTGAGGAGTCGAACAGAAGGCAAACTAGGACTGTTGTTTTCTATTTTGTGCACGACTTCTCCAGGGAGGTCTGGAATACTGGCTTTGCTTAGGGTGCTGTTCATGTTCAAACCGCCCTTTCTGGGGCAGTATGTTTAACCTGTTTCCTGGCCCTGAAAGGCAAATTTTGAACGAATCCAAGCTGGTTGCACCAAGTGAATGTCATGGCCCCGAAAGGGAAGAGAGTTGCTTCTCTACAAACAGGTGGAGTTCACTCCAGCTCTTCATGTCAATGACTCGGAGAGTATATGACGTATATAAATATATATATATATACCAGGAGTCACAAAGGGGTGTCCAATGAAGTACCCCACACTACCTATAGACTTCCATTGGGCACCCCTTTGTGACTCCTGGTATATGGATGATGTGTGTCATGTGTGTCCACATGTTTTTTCAACACGTCGGGAACCGCTGGCGCTTAAAAACGATGTACATCCATCTTCCACTCGGTGGGACTGAAGATATGTACGACTCAAGGTAGGCAAAGGAACCCTATTTTCTGTGGGATTTTTTTCTCAACGTGTTTCGGGATGTTTTGTCCAGGTTCGTTCTGTTGTCTTCGAGGAAGGAAGGAAAGGAAGGAAGGAAGGAAGTCAGCAAGGAAGGACCCAAGAACCCCAAAAGTAAGATCGAGGGTTCTAGCTGTCTTTCATGTTGGGGTACCGCAGAGGTGACGGCGGAAGCACCCTTTGTAAGGGCCCTCCCGGGGAAGTTTTTATTTTGCATGTGCCAGTACTATCTTGACATACGTGCATACAAATATACACGCATACGTTAACACATGTGAGACAACTTTTGATGTTGTGTCAGTGCCGAGATGCTCAACATACGTTGTTTTCCTTGCGGGGGAGGCGCTGCGCCCTCCCCCGCTCTTTTTATTGATGGTATTGCTACAGCGCATCACGACAGCCAAGAAAGCAATCAAGCGCATACATAGAGACACACATGCCCATACATGACTGGTGTATACTGTATACTGTATTGTGATCTGCAAGGATGCAGCGGGAAGAGCCTTCTCCTTCTCTTGTTCCTTCTCCTCTCTCCTCTGTCTCCTTCTCTTTCTCCTTCTCTCTTCCTCCCTCTTTTCCTCCTTTTCCTTTTTCTCCTACTCTTCTGTTCCTTGCCTCCTGCGCTAGTTCTCTTTCTTTTTCTCTTTGTGGCAACCCCGGTCACCACTAACAGTGCGGGTTCAAAAATCCCAATTTTGGCGTTGGAAAACAATTCCCGAAAAAAAGGGTTGCCCGTAGGCAAATATTCCAGTCCCATGGATTCTCTTCCAGGACCTTCCAACAGGTCACCACCTGCGACTTTTAAGTCTCCAAAAGCCACCAGAGGAGACCTGTTGGAGGTTGCCAGGTTGCCAGGTTGCGTCACTCACTCTCCGCTCCGCGAGAAAAAGACCCAAACATACCCAAACAAAGATTCTTGGATGGGGAATGCATCTTTTAAGATGCAGAATGCAGAGGGTTAGAAGTATTGCTGTCCTGCATGTTATAATATATGCATGATATACTGAAATACTACATATACTGTTTGCTGTATACTGCCACAATAGGTGTTGTAGGGCTCCGGGTGCCACCCACAGCCACATCAGGGGTTCCGGTCGCACGGAATGTGTGTGTGTGTGCCGAGGTGCCCTGCAATGGTCAGAGCTAATGCTGGATTGCCCGCGCGCCTTCGGGTGCAGGGGCGAAGCGTCGCAAGGAAAAAGAGACAGCTCATGAGGACTCGTGAGGACGGTTCCAAGACGTAGAGCTCGTGAGCCACAACGAGCACCACTTGAAGGAATAATTGGCAAGTTGAAGTTGATGTTTGGGACAGTCATTTTCATAATCTTTCATATCCCAGAATCCTCCATTGATGGACGAGTTCACTCAGCCCTTTGTTGGCCTCTATAGCTATCTCTTCCAGCCCATGGATGGTTTGGATCTCATCGGTGATTGTGATGAGTCCCTACAGCTCCTGTCCCATATCCTCAGAAGGTAGGGATGAACCCCCCTTGGCACCCACCCCAACCACCGAACCAAAAAGGAGGTCGGCCAGCCCCAACGGATCTTCTTTAGGTTCCTCCATAGCCCACTCTGTTCGGAGCCGATGCTTTGCCAGGCTAAGTCTAAGTGACTCACAAACTAACGCTACAGGTACAGGTCAGTTGGACCTCATTTTCGGAGTTGATCATACAAAAACCCTACTCAATGAGGTCAGGTCAAGGACCAGAGTCTGAACTTGGGTCATGCTGGGTCATGGCTAGATTTGGTCTAGCTTGGTCTTCTCAGCCCTAGTAAGGGCCCTTTCGGGAGTACACTGTTCCGCTCAAATGCTTGAGGTGTAGGTAGGAACTCACTACATGTCTTGAAGATTCTACAGCTTGCAGAGTACCTAGCACCCCTGTCTGGAGGCTTTGACACCCAGAGGTAGGGTAGTCGAACGCCAGGACACCCAGGTCCAGGATGATCCTGGTAGAAGCATTGGATTTTACAGTGAACACCGACCCACCAGGGGGGACACCGCCATCCATCACCGAAGCTCTTCGCCCATCCTGGGACCATGGGGACCCCGAGGAAACGACGAATTGAACACATCGGCCATCCAACAACACATCGGCCACATCATGTCATCAACAGCCCAGTCGGCCTTTCTTCATGGCATCAACGGCCCAGGATTGTTTGGGGTGAGAAAGGCGGCGTGTTCGTGTTCTGAAGCAAACCTCCTGCATGTTGGGTGAAAAAGACTGTTGAGCCTGTCACTTCTGCCATCATCGACTGTTCAAAGGCTCGGTGTCGCAGTGCCCCCCGTCGCAGTGCCCCTCGCGCGCGAGAAAAACTGGGCCGACCGTTCTTGCCGCGATGATGCAAGCAGTGGGCATGGGCGACATGAAGGAGGCGGCCAAGCAGAAGGTGGAGGAGAGGTCGTGGAGGTCAGTTGAGGTTTTTACCAGCACCTTCCAGGAGGTGGAGTCTCTGATATAGACTGTACTATAGTGTACTGCACTATGGTTGATCTCCAGTTCTCATTCACAACTGCCAAGGACCGGTTCAACTGGGTTCTTTTCCAGAACCGGCCAAGGGAAGAGAAGAGCAGTTGAGAAGAGCAGTTCTTGGGCGGCGTTGTTGGCCAAGAAGCGACCAGTTCTGGGTGGTCCAGCAGAGATTGAAGAACCCTATAGTAGGCCCTATAGTGACTAATTATCCTATAGTTTCCCCTGTAGGGTCCTAGTTCAGGTCACTTATATAACCTCTGTAGGGTGGTTCCAGATATGGTTATTTTCAACCTTCACTTGGGATGAAGGAACCCACTGACTGACATGTGAGTTGAAACCGAAGACCAGATGTTGGTGTAGATTCCACACCCCTCACATGTCGTCGTGTACCGACCGTCGACCCTTCATGACCTGCTTCTGTGAAAAGACTGTTTCAGGAACGTTTCAATGTGAACGTGTTTGTCATTCCAATTTACTTTGGCTACGTTCCACTGCAGAAATGATGGTTTCTACTGTATCGTCCATGTCAAGCATGAGAGATGTGTTCTTTGCTGCTCTTGTCAGTCTTCAATTTTGCTCAAATCTGCCCCGCCCAGTCGGTCCGTGTCGGCGATGCCCCGCTGCATGTTGTGCGGGGCCCACGTCGGGGGGGCAGACGGACACTTTGACACTTGCTTCGAGCGGCACTGTCCTGTCTCGCCCCCGGTGGCGGCGCCGCTGTCTCGTCCACCCATGCTGTTTTGGATGGGCCGCGTGCCTCCGGAGCCGGCACTGCTAGTTCGCAACTACTTGGCACTCCCTGAGCGCTTGGCTTTGGCATGCGGTTCATGGCATGCGAAGATGCTTTGCGACGATGAAGAGGCATGGGACCAGTACGCCTCGACCTTGTGGGCCTCTTTGTGGGCCGCCGTGCCAGATGGAACTTGCGGCTGCCGTTTCGCTTCTCCCCAACATGTACGGAGTATCGACCCCAAGACGAAAGCGCTTGTACTGTGGAAGATCGATTCGATCACCACACTCCAGATTCGAGTGAAGACGATGTGTCAAGACTATCGAAGCTTGAGTGTGGGGCCGCATACGTCCGTTGCAGAACTCAAGGACCTGATGGAGATCAGGACAGGTCTGGTTCCAAATGAGTGTGAGCTGATTCATGAGCAGAAGTTACTTCGTCATCTAAAGGCCCCCATTGCAGCGTACCTTTGGGTTTCATTCCGCAGAGATTTGGCTTCATGGCAGAGGCCCTTGCGTCTCGAAATGTTGCTGAGGCTGAAGCAGTTGCCATGGTGCAGTGAAACTTGAATGTTGAATGATGCGAAGTCATGAAGATTGGACAAAATCTATAGGTTTGGGGCCCTCGCTGTTTCTTTTCTTCAGAACTATCCCATGGCCAGGTGTTTTCTGGTTTGTAACCAAAGGATTTTGTCTATTCATGTCTATTCTCAATGTACAGTTTAGGCTTTGCAGCATGCAGTATTGCTCTACATCTCACCCTGTTGCGACATCAAAAACGCTGCAAAAAACGCTGCGCGTCAACGGTGTCAACGTGTTCGAAAGTGCAGCTTTTGACCCCAGACATATGGCTTGTGGATTTCACAGAAGACCGAAAACGAACCATTTGCTTCCACCATCTTCCACCTGTTTCAATCACGTTCATTGCAGTTTCGCTCACCAAATATATCGCAGAGCCTCCATGTATGCCATAAAACATGGACCCTCAAAACCACCCCCCAAATAAGCATCAATAAGCATATCCCAGACACTCCATGTATGGCATATATGCCTACATTGGGGTGGTTTTGGGGGTCAATGTAGGCATATATGGCATACATGGAGTATCTGGGTATTAATGGCAGTCCCAGTCGTGTTTGGGTAGACTCACGTCTCGTCTCATGTTCCCGGTCCACTCGACCAGACCGGGCGCGTGAACGCTGAGGAGTGGAAGCAACCCCTTCGGTGTCAGTGGGCCTCTCCCTCAAACGATTCCAATGACCATGCAGTGATGTTGTCCATGACCTACCATTTTGCCGCACAAAAGTACCTTGGAGAATGGGTGATGACCGATGTACCATCCCTTGTGTTGGTCCTCCAACCCAGTTCTGGGCCAGGAGGAACTGGCGAACAAGGCCCCGGCCACTGGGCGCACTTAACGCACCGCGGGTGGCCGAGCGGTGCGTTCACGCGCGAGGTGGGCGAGGTCTGGCGGAGTGGCGGAGTACGGGTACCTGAGAAAATGAGTACGGGTCATAAGTGTCATAAGTTATAAGATGTGTTTCAGCAGTTAGGGGTCACAGTCCCATTGTCATTCATGTTCACGAAGTAGTACGTCGATTCTCCTCAAGTCAGGACATTCGTATTCTCCTCACCCTGAGAAGCTGATGGACATCAGACCATCTCAGACCGCGGGGCCCCCCGTCGACCTGGAGCGATCTCCATTGTCTCCCGCTTGCGGATCCGGATGTCGTATCCTAGGTCTTGTTGATCCCTTGACAAGAACGCCCAATGGGGGACAACGAACGCCTACTACACAGGTGAAAAGAACGCCCAAGCACGGGCAAAGTCGCCCTTGACCCATAATAGGCAGAAATGTTTGCCCAAGAAAGAGGTTCTAGGTATAGATAGATGTTGGAACATCGACTTGCAACGGGGGGTCCTGATCCTCTTCCATGTTTGGATAGCCAATGAACCGGATCTCGTAGCCTGGTATTTTTCCATATGATTCCATATGTTTCCTCCAACTGGGTGAGTCCATGTGAACCCCAAGGCTCCGTTCGGCCGCCTAGCTCCGGCAATCGCTTCGATGGGCCAGTGGGTGGGTGGGTGCCAGGGGGTCGAAGACCACCGGCGTATGGCGGCCGTTCGGAGGTATAGGGGAATCCTCCTAACGTGAAACCAGTCGTTTCTTACTGGTTTTTGTTGGGTCCGGTGAACTGGGCTGTTCCTGAACTGGGCGGTTTTTACGACCAGCTGAAGGCTGTTCGGCACCTCCAAGTAGTCCAGGTCCGCCAGAGCAGTCTCTTCAGGTCCCTCACCAGGTCTGCTAGAGCGGACCAGGTGAAGTGGGGTGTAACACCACCCAGGTCCGGTTCTTGAACACCTCAGTAACCCATTAGGGATCCAGTCGTACCGAACCTCAGGTACGGTGAGCAGTGTTCGACACTTTGATGTTGGTTTTGAGGCTCCAGTCGTACCGAACCAGAGGTTCGGTACCACTGGAATGTCTAGGGCTAAGTATGATCAACTTCGAAACTGCGGCCTCCCTTCCTTAACCTGTAGGGTGCCGTTTTGTTGGTTCGTTCGGTGACCCGAACCACCCGGTCCGCTGCGAACCCTGTTGGTCCGGTGCGTGTTTGGGTGAGGTCCGAAGGAGGTGAGCCGCTCAGGGAGTCGATGGACCTTGTTTTGGGGGCGAAAGTCCATAGATCCCAGCAGTCAGGGCTGTGGGAGGACATGGGAGGACTCTGTTTGGAGTGACGTTTGGTCTGAACAGATGTCCTTAACTGCCCAGATGCTGTGAGTGAGTGGAAACAGCCCTACTTCCAGTGCAACTCAAAAACGGCTAGGCGAGAAACCCGAATTTCACCCCGCATGAGTCTTCCAAAGGATTCCCCTAGGCTTCCAACCACTATTTTCATTGTTTACCGAACCACCACTTGGGGAATTTAGAACACAACTACACGAATGGTCGCCCTTGAACAACCTGGTCGGAGTGGACTCGTTTCCCGGTCGGATCTTTTGGTGTGTCTACAAGCGATGGCCTCCAATAGTACAAGCAATGGCCTCCACCCTAAAATCGATGGCCTTCACCCTACAAGCAAAGACCTTTGAAAATGGGACATGAAAGGACATGACATTATAGAAAAACATACCTGAACCATCCTGTTTGGGTGTCCAATGGACTACCCTACACTGCTTAGGGATCTCCATTGGACACGCATTGGATGGTCCTGGTATGTCCTGGTAGTTAACACCCTCATCTTCTGAGGTACGAACGGAGGGTCCAGTGTGCAGGTCACATATTATTCGTTTGGGTCATGTCTCATGCTCAAGGCTAAGACTCTCTCTTACTGGTGCTTGGCACCGTCGAATCTATAGACTCATCCACAGCACTGGAATGCTTGACTTTGGAGTGAAATCAACCACCCCAAACCTCCGGGCCCATGGATGGTCTTGGTAAGCCCAGTGCATCCCAGGCAAACCACTATATGTAAGGAACCAGGGATTCGTTCGGTCTATGGTTTTAGTCTTTGGAACCAACTGGTTACCAGTTATAGTGGTAACTGGATGCCCTCAGGTGACCGGTGCTATTCGACACCCCCTGGCCCACCTTCGAAACGGAGCTGGGACAGGAGCCCTATAGGGACAATATAGTACAAAGGTATCCCAAACCCGAGACGTTTTTCCTGTATATGCCAAGCTGGCGTCTTATTTTGAGGCTAGCATCAAGCCCCTCTTCCCATTCTGCGGTGGTCCAGTGGGCACGATGGAGAAGTGCATTTGCATGGTCACTTGGTGAAGCCCACGACCGTGTGGGGGGGGGGGGGGGCAGAACTCGTCTGAAACGGCTGGTGTTTCGCCCTTGAACTCCTTCACAACTCTGAAAACACTCCTTCAACTCCTGGAAAACTCGATCAAAACATTTCAAAACACTCTGAAACTCAGAGATTCGAAGCGAAACATGTGTCGAAAGCTTCCCGGTGGTTTGTTCGTCCGTTGCGAACGGACGCGGAACCGTGAGGACACCCGGTGGGTGGGTCGGGACGTCACCAAGCTGACTGGTGGGGCGAAGAAGATCGCCTCACCGGCCACGGGTTGGGTTGACCAGTGGCCTCCAAGCACCGCATCCACAACCGAGAATCACTTTAGAAAGAGATTGATCACTCAAGCATGGAGAATTTGTGGACATGTGCCTGGAAAACGGTATATATATATACTGTATACCTGGTTCTTCATGGTGACTCGTGACCGAACGAACGATCCCCTGGTTGCTTCGGTCACGACCTAAGACGAGACTGGTCACGAAGAGAGACTCCAAGATTCGGTTAAGGTACTGAAGAAGCTGGTGTTTTTGTTGGGGTCATGTCCCATGGCACTTGAAAAAGGGTCCAGGTGTGCACCTGTGTTTGGCCCGCAGCCCGCATCATTTGAACAGCCGTTGAATCTTCCTGAATGCATGGAATTGAATGGAGACTCGCGAGAGATTTGATGTGTTCAAAGTAGACAGTTGATGAATAGTACTCCCTACTGTAGATGGAGATGCGACGGGATTTTTGTATAGGGTTATCAATCAACATGTTAACACATATATATATATATATATATATGTGTGTTAACATATTATGCAGTTAACAATATGCTGCCACTATCTGCCACTTCTTCAGATTGCGTATCTCCATGGATTCCAGGTCCAAGCAGATCAGCAAGAAGATGTGAAGAAGGCCATCGAGAAGTACAAGACACTCTGAGAGCCAACGAGCCCGGAGATTGCGGGACAACCAAGGTGAGCCATCGAGCTTTAGCATTTTCACCCTAAACAGATCTCAATTAGGCTTAGCCTCGGCACCTTGAGCCAAGTCATGGGACTGGAATGGATCTACTTATACAGCACCTGAAATCAACCACCCATAACCACCCCAACTGATCGGCAAATATGCAAGTCACATTAAAATTAGTTAGTTGTGTTTGGGTTTTAAAGAGTAACCACCTGTTTGTGCCCCTGATCTCACACGATTGGAGGGCTAGTGTCCTGGACCCTCCAAAGTCCCCTAGAAAAAAATTGATAATGACTGAGGCTGAGGTACTTTGAGACTCCAGGTATATATGATGAACCCCCCCGTAGTACTCCTGCTCAAATCCGACGCTGTCCTGCACTGTCGACGACCGCGGCCGAAAACGTCTGACCGTGGTCTGACCGTGGTGGAAGAGCGCACCCGTCGGATCCTGGCGCCAATGAACCCTGGAGGCTACAGGCCAATGCCTTGCCTGTGGTGTATCCAGTGCAATGCGCAAAGCGGTGGAAAAGTGTGGATTCCGGTTTCTGTGTTCTTTGAGGGAAAGGCGATTTTTCTGTGGAAGCAAACGCCAAACGCCCTGTGGATTCGGTGCCATCGAGTTACCCACCAAATACAGCCAAATGTTGCAATTACACCCCCTGAAATCATCATGGAAGTCAGTCCAAGAAAAGGGCCATGCCATCCACGGTCCCCAAAGAGTTCGAAAAGGGGAGACATGTGCCCATAAATGTGCCCTATGGACCCAAATGCCATTCTCACAAGGTGATGTGTTTGACACTTTTATGCAAAGTTTGCAGAGTCCACGGGTGATGTGAATCCCTAGTAGTGAATCTCGTTCAGCCGCTTGAAGTCCTAAGTCTTTGGGAAGTGCTTTGTTCTTGGATGGTGCTCTGCCGCACCACCCCCGACCCGCACCCTTCACCGCCAACCCGCTCAAGCTGGACGATCCCGGCTCCGGTCCGCAGCGGTTCGCCACAAGGGGCGACCATCCTGCGTGGCTGGGGCAG